CAGACATATACCGTATATAATTTATACTGTACACGATATATATTGCGTATAGTTTATAACAAGTGAATAACTTATATTAGTAACAAGAACAGAGAACTGCAACAGCAAGTGACTGATCCACAAGCTTCCACATCTCTCTCTTAGCTCTTCGCTCCATCTGAACTAAGGCCTTCCAACTGGGCGGTTGCGGACCCTTTGGTACCAATCCGTCATTGCGAAATCCATCGGTCATTTGTAAGTCATTCAATGCAATCACACTCCCTTGTCCGACTCGAGCTTCACGCAGAGGAGTGGGGATCGTTTTTGCAAATGACCTGTCCATTTCTTTCAATATTTGCAGACGGTTTTGGATATCACCAAGTTTGTGAGGCGTCATGGCAGAACACCTGTTTGCCTTTCGATCTGGCCGAATGAACTTGCAGGTGACGGTTTTGTGAGGTATGGCCCCATGATGAGTTCAGCCACTGCGCTTCCTCCTTTGTACCATGAAGCAGTGCCTCATCTTGCGGACAAGTACATAAGTAATACTGGCAGTTCGATGGAAGACTGAAACGGAAAATTTTAAAGCTAGCAAAAGGCGCCAAATGATCTTGTTTTTCAGAATGATTGCACATTCAGATTGACAGATATGAACATAATCAGAGCAACAATTCAACAGAGCAAAACAGACTAAATGCTATAAAACACCGAAGCAGAAAAAGAACTAATATTAATTAGACATGTTTTAGAGAAAATATTTAAATGCATCTGGGTTCCTAAGGAACCCCGCTGAAACTGGGATGACTGAACTATAACATAGCTCTATCTTGGCGCAGATAGTTCCGTGACGAGGTCTCTTGGAAAGACAACGAGGGACAGACCTTAGAAAATCAACTGATATGCCGCATTTGCTAAGAAACTGTTGCCCATCCGAACTGCGTGCGAAAGTATAAGATAAGTCATTTATAACTATACGTCGTTTAGTATAATGTCACATAGCCTGGAAAATGGCTTGAAGGTAATGTTCTGAAAGGGCTGGAAATGAAATCGTACTTCCGTGGCAGCACACATAGAGAAGTACCGATTTTAACGGTATTGGAAGAGGCGTCGAGATTCCTTAGTCTCTGGATGAAGAGGTATGTGTTTCAAGGAAAGGCAGCCAATGACTTTGCTGGTTGGTGTCACATGACGTCAGAGAACAGGACAATACCTAGGTAACTGATATTTGCAGTGCGAACCATTAGACATAATTATAAGTCTTAATGACATGCTTAATGGTGGCTGACTCCTGGTACTACCTATGCTGTAAATCTACTCGTATGTCATAGGAGGTTAGGCTGGAGGTCTTTGATTCAGAAATATTTTCAAATATTTGTTATGCTATCCCTGCACCTATCGATCAGATTCTGAGGAGGTTTCAGAGAGTTCAGTACGACAGCATCAACCATGTACTTCAAGCAGTTAAGGGAGAGGCTAACGCTGTAGCTTCGCGTTTCTAAATTGAAACTGTGAACTAGATTGTCCGGTTCCAGATAACAATTCAGTTTGCGACTGCCCGCTAAGAAATTCTGACATTCCCGGTCCCAGCCCCGATGAGTAGGGAAGAGGGTAGGGGACTGTAGCGAAATCAACCGTGAACCTTAGCTACCCTTAGTCATTTCATGGTATCGTTGTTATCGAATATTATACCGTCTTGGGTTAGCAGTGCCGCACAGGCTGTTACGGAACTGAGGCAGAATGCGAAAAGCCCTTGATCAGAACCTGCTTCATGACTTCATGATGGAACTCACAGAGGGAAACTAGAACATATCCTCACCCATGGAGAAAACGCAGCAGGTAGTTGATGAGACCACAATACATTGACTGGATATAACTGGACCCTGGAATTGTGAACCTCGCATGGTAGAGCATGTTCCACTGAGTTTTATACTCGATGATGCCCTTGTTACTATTCCGGTAAACCCCAGATCTACCTAAAAGAGTCATACAATAGATGCCCTGATGATGTTGTAACAGGCTAAAGTTTAGAAACCTTTACAGCTCAATTTCATCCATCCCTCCCCCGATTCAGAGTGAAAATATGATTCCTTCCTGAAAGAAGTAGGCGGCACTCTACTCGAATTACCGATTGGGAATCCACGACTGTAGTTCAGAGGGAAAATATCAGTCCTTCCTGGAGTATGTAAAAAGTGCTCTGCATGAAGTGTCGACTGCGGAATCCATCATTTAAGCGAGCAATTTCAGTGCGCATGTCGGAGCGTATAGCAAACTCGGAAATGCATGATTGGGAAAAACGATCCTCGTGACCTCAAAAACGATTGCATGAATTTTTGTAGTTTTGTGCAAACAACGTATTGTACATTATGAGCACCTTCGAGCATCGAACGGTACATCAGTATACCTAGTACCGGGAAGCTTATGCACAGAAGTCAGTGATGGATTTGATAATCGTATCATCTGACTTAAGACGTTCAGTAACGGATGTTCGCGTTAAGACAGGTGAAGAGCTATCGATCGATCATCAGCTTGTTGTTGGCATGTTGCGCTGTAAGAAATGGAGTACCATTCGAAGATCTGGTGGCAGAAACAATCAGAAAATCAAATGGGAAACATAATTCGCGGATACGGCAGTAAAGCATGAAAACAATATCGCAGACTGTTTGAACAGAACGAAGTTATTACCGCTGCGTTGCAAACCAACTGTCAGTTTCAATAACAGCGGCTTATTCAGGACTTCCGACGAATGGGGTGGTTTTAAACGGGTTCACTTACCGTCTGGAGGTCAGTGGAGAACATTCTGGAGGACACGAAGGTTTCGACTTGGATTCAGGGCGGAAAAGACCGCATTCAAGGTGATGGCTTGAATACAAAGAACTACCAACTAGCACACGGCAGCGAAAGCAGTGGCGAAACGGCAAACAGTGTATTTTGGCAGATCATCACTGGCAATCTAAACGTCTTGAAGGGCAGGTCTGGACATCCTTTTACCGAGGATGAGGGCATTCTTCGGCGATGGAGAGAGTACTTTGAGGAACTCCTTAATCCGTGACAGCCGCAGTAAGACTCGCCTGTAGAGCAGCAGGGAACGGATATTACTACCTCTGTAGATGAAGTTACACAAGCTTAGAAAAGCTTGAAAAATGGAAAAGCTCCCGGAATTGACGAAATCTGAGATGTCCTGAGATGCTCAAGGCATTCGGCGAACAAGGCATGCACTGGCTAACACGTGTCTGTAAAACTGCGATGACTGCGGGAAGGACACCATCGGATTGGAGAACGGTAGTTATTGTACCCGTATCCAAGAAGGGAGAC